GGGTTCTCGTAGTTCTACATTTAGTACTATTCCGATTACCACAAATAGTATAATTCAAATGCGTGCATTCTCAGTCAGTGGATTAAACGCATTTGTCGAATACTTGTTGGATAGCAAGGAACTTCCTAAAAGTAGTAGTGGAACATGGAGGAATTCGATCGTACACTTGACGGTAGTGTTCCGTGTTGCCGATGTAAGAAAACGGCACCATTTCGAAGAGTGACTTTTACAAAGTATTGAAAATCTATTCACGTCTTCTAATTGAGTCGATGACCTTTTCTGTCTTGCAGATCGCTGTATTATTAGCAGGAATTATGCGGGATCATTAAGACGAAATACAGCATCCATATTGCTTACCATTTTCATCCTCTAATAATGAAATAGATATTAAAACGTTTTACGCTTGATTAATGCTTTTCTTATTCATGAAATACGTTTTTATCAAGTTTTAATCTCTTTAAAATACTCTTTATTGATGCGCAAATTGCACCAAACATAATTGAGTAAAATACCATTCAGTTTTTGTAAATACTGACTTGCATCTCTATAGAGTTATAGAATCACGTGCCTGTTTGGTAACAGTGTGTACGTCAAACTGAGAAGTTTCAAATGAACATGCTACTTTTCTATTGACCCGGGTGAAAGAGAAGTTCAAACTCAGAATTTATACTAAACGAGTTAAAGTCGAATTTTTTCACCTTAGTAGCATGTACTGAATACAGATTAATGATATATTAGTCCGCTTTGGTCTCCGCTTGATAGCCCTGCAGCATGTCAACGATCTCTGATGGGCAGTCACTTAGTGGAAATTCCTCGTTATGAGTCAACTACACATTTCGAATTCGTTAATATTACAGAATATATTAGGTATATGCGAATAGTGGAAGATTTTATTTGATAATATGATGATTTTCGTCGCGCACAAACCAAATGAAACTAGGGAGCACAGGACGGCTAATTCAACCAGGTCAGGCCTTATCAATGCTGCGAATTCGTTGACCCAACTGGGGATCGAACCCGGGACAGAACACAAGCATATCACCCACCTGACCCCGCGGAGTCAAATCTCTGTTCCACTTTGTCTACACACAAGATATTGCCAACCGGGCTGCGTGTCGTTCAGGTCTACTTTACAAACTATATCTCAGGATTGACATAGAATTATCCACTGTTACCACTTAATGTCTTATCCGTTTGACGGATTACATACGCTTTTGTGTATGTGTACGCCTGACTATGTATGATTGAGTTTACACTTTTCTAAGACGTTCGCTGTACGAATCCTCTAACACTTATGTGCGTGGTTACCTGTAGTGGCTATATTTGTTAAACAATGGTAATTCCAGCAAATAAGTTTCACCAGGGAAACTTTAGTCATTTAACTTAGGTCAGGCCACTCTCTACCGGTTTCCGTAATCCCATCTGTCGAACAGGGTTTCAGATTGACAAGATTTCACCTGATAAAGTGAATCAGCTTTGGTCTACTTGCAGTTAGATGAAAGATCTCACTCCACTTGTCCTGGTCGTCTAGCTCGAACTCCCGAACCACAATGTCGCAACTGCATACCACTCGACCTACCGAAATATTCAAATGTGCTTGCTATTTGTATGGGGTACAGTTGAGGTAAGGGTTGAAACACGAATTATTATGTCAGATTACCGTAAGAGTACAAGCGGTGCAGGGTAGAGGTCGATTGACCTTTTGGACACCATTTTAACCGGGTAGTTTAACCTCTTCTCTCCTTCTGTCTGTCTGTCTGTCTGTCTGTCTGTCTGTCTGTCTGTCTGTCTGTCTGTCTGTCTGTCTCTCCTTCCCCTCCCTCCTACATATCCCATACCAATCCGCGTGTTTGTCATGATCAGAGTGCTAAAATAGCAATCATTCTTGGAATCGGAAGCTGTCACTGTGTTCTTAACTGATCCTCGTGCTTCAGGAAAATTGTGAATGAAATAAACGGCTTCAATTCAGCACCAACTCCAACCTAATTGACTGCACATGTGTGTTTTCGCTTTCCCTGATTTTCTTTTAGCGATTCACAATCTCGGTCGCGTGTATTTTACTTCAAGCACTTTCACGGTTGTGCTTGGCATACCCGAAGTTTCGATTCCTGTGCAATTTCAAAGGTAATTTGAATTCATTCGCATTGTCCGATATACGCCTTTCTGTCTTCTTTACATTTTCATTTTAACTATACAATCTTAGGCCTATCGATACAAAATAACGGTATAATTTCTCCCATATCGATTAACTTATAATCAACTGCACTATCAAATAAATGAGACAAAGTACCTTGGATAATTTGAATATTCTGGTTACAACGAAACCATGTGTCAATTTCCGAATTGCATTTAACAGAAGTTATATTCGATCGGACTCAATCAGTCAAACAATTAGTCAATCAATCAATCAATCAATCAATCAATCAATCAGTCAATCAGTCAGTCAGTCAGTCAGTCAATTAATCAATCAGTTAATGAAATATTTGTCACAACAATTTGATTTATGTAATAATTCGTTATTTAGCTTCGTGACTGATGATATTTATACTTGTAACCTTTACACTGATATGATTGATATGCTATTTTTCAAGTTGTAACTGAAGTGTCTCCTTGTAAAAATTGGTTTTAATCCTAGTGATTTGAATGCAGAATTCCTCGTTAACTCACCCCAGATTTGTATTTAACTTACATTAAGTGTGAGGTTTTCAAGCAATTTTGATTCAGGGAGGTAAAATTACTGGCATTACAAAAGCTTCCCGTTCATAAAGCTCAGAGCCTCTCAGGTAATCTGGTATTGTGGTATGTAGACCCAGGGATGAAAGTGTTGCACTCATTTGCCTCATTTTAGGAATCCGGACAGAACCCAACTGGAACCAGGAGGAGGAAATTGAATTACATTATTTTTCATTTAAACTAAAACAAAACAAGTTACCATGTATGTTACGGTGATTCAGCTCACCTAAGCCAATGTCAACTGAGGTACACTGGCCATCTCGCTCTCCTTTACTCACGCTTTGTTACTTGTGGTCGTGAGGTGTCAGTGTTCGCAAACCGATGTAGGCCTCGGTCACTCAGCACCGTGCTGGCAGTGACTATGCGGTTCAGATGAGGTCAACCCCAAGTACAGGGATAGCTGGTTGAGAATCCGGGATAGACGCTTACACAGAAATCACTTGCAACACAACTGAGATCTGCAGGTACAGGTTTCGGATTGGAAGGTTACGGTGTGAACGATACAGCGAACAATCCAGACAGTCCATGAGATGAAAGACCAAAACGGAGGAGGGGGAAAGCCAATGACTCTGAAGGCTTCTTTTTGGCTTCTTTTAGGCTGAAGCTTACGTGTAACATGTAAAAATCTCAAGGAGATTTCGAGTTTGGCTTGCGAAAACATCAGCAACCTCAATGGAATTTGACGCCCTGCCTCCTATGTTAGGCACATCTTATGCTCTACTGATTTACTATTTATTGAATAACACGAATATAACTTTGTTTCTCTTAACGCGAAACGAACTTCAACTGGCCTGTCCCCAACACACAGAGTTAGTTAGCATCGGGGTAATTTTCGGGGAGAAGAACAGTAATTCGGTAGAAGGTAAGCCTGAGAGGTACACCAGGACGCAGGAGTTTACATTAACAAAGACGAGCCGAAGGCAATCCACGCTGATGAATGAAATACTCGATTCATCTACTTCGAAATCTAGCCCTTGATCCCTCTTACCACGATCCTACCTCACACTCTAGCTTTCCACACGTGTCTAACGCACTAGATTAGCAGGCGAATTTTCTAAACAATTGTGATGTTCCTCAAAGTATCACATTTTCTCCCGTTCCTCTTCTCCACTTATACTATTCATCTCTCTTTTCAATTACTTGGAGCTGTGAATAGGTGAACAGATGACGTNNNTAGCCAGATAATAAGCAATATCAACAGATGGAGAGTTTAATGAAATTTATTCAAATCATCTCCAAATTGTGCGGAGTTTTCAGAACAACGTGGTCATTCTGTAATAATCGAAACAGATACGCATCATGAATCNGGGTCGCAACTGCAGCACAAAATCACACTAGCAATCGTTATCGGGTTATACCCTCCCGTCACCGAGACACAGGAAAAAGGCCGCAGAAGTAGCGGTTAATTTATTAGGGACAATCAATGGGATTAAATAATATACGTAAATAAACGTCATTGGTTAAAAACAGGTCTTCGCCAATGGCCTGCTTGCATCCTTGCCATCATACAGATTTCGTTTGATCCGCACGGTTTCTTTGGTTCCTGGTTGCCCAGGTACGCGTCACCCCGTGGTTGGCGTTATCCAGTAGACTGGAGATACCACTTTCCGTCAGTCCTTCTGAAATTAGTGATTGCTAAGTCGTTCTGTCTCTCTCAGGTTTTCCGAAAGATCTCGTTTATTCACCTTTCAGCTACCCAGAACAGAATTCGTTAAATGTGTCTCAGAGTAATACGGAATACCAATCTCCACAGATTGTGTTTTACTATCGACCGTGTCTGCCAATTGCATCGATTTTCTTTTCAAATCCGAAACCTTAGACAGTTTGGCTTCAACTGTGGTGCAATCTATTCCCGTGTTTCTCAATGGGTTTTACTAATAATGCTCTTATTAATCCCTGCGATTTTTTCAACGCTGCTAGAGAAGAATTTCCATATGGTCTGTTTCTTCGATCCCATGACGAACCCTATTATTGGGATAGAAAATTTGACTTTCAACAGTCTTGATCCATCCTCTTCTTGGCGGTCCTTTAAATGCCGTCTCCTAGTGCGAGAATTTCCTCACTAAACCACACACCTCGTCATTCGAGCGTCATTCGCCAAAATGCGTGCCAACTTTCACTCAGTCGCATCAATTTTTCGAGCATTTCTTATCAGTTCTCTGTTTATATATCTGTGCCACGGTCAGCAAACCGTTTTATTATCTGTTGAAACGTAAGTTTCACACTTGAACAAGCTTGACAGTAAAGTTTGAAATCACGTACAAAATATGCGAGAAAGGTATGTGTGTTTGTGTGTGGAAGTTGTGCGATCGAATGGCATTCAACTGAATTTTGCCGCGATTTATCTGCGGTTTATTTGACGGCGGTTTCCTTCTAATCCCCAGCACAGTTCCTTGTAATCACAATGATCTTTCGGTTACTTTATCCCATCTGTGCACCAGACATCCTACAAATGAAGACCACATTCCAGAGACCAAAGAACAAGCTGAAGACTTCGAAAACAGATCACGGAAAAACGACACGGTGAGTGTATGATGCTTTATTGTATGGTTGAAATTACGTTACCCCTCCATGGCCATTCAGTTCGCACGTTTCCGTACTTCCCCTACGATTATCTAGCCGCCCCACATAGCAACTTTCGCGTTAATTGTCGTGACCCCTTCTTCGTCCAACCTGTTACTATAATCTATTATCTCCACCCCACATGGAAACTGTGTCGTAGTAACTGTCGTCACTCGTTATCCATTATCGTTATCAAGTATCTCGACCCGGCATAAAAACTACCTCGTGTTATTGTGGTCACCTGTTCATCACCCATCCGTTATGGTTATCCTACCGTCTTCACTGTTATCACTGTTCATCCTTTTCTCGCAATCAGTTACTTCTTGACACATGCTACCGGCCGCCTTGTGTGTTTAACAACCCCAGGCACCATCTTCCTGTTCGTTGTCTACTCTCTCAATTACACCGTGATTACGGTTGTCATCTGTCGCCCCCACCCACGTCACGTCGCCCTCCCATCCCTGTGATTGGTCCTGACCACCCTTTAAATAGCACTGTCGCTATATCCACATCGCATTCCTCCTCCGATTTCCAAGAGAGTTTTCCTGGCACGTTTGCCCTTGTCGTGTCGAGCCGATTGTTTTGTCCAGACCGGGTTGCCCCTAATTTGAGGTATGCCGTTGTATTTCGATTAATTCATGATTGGATATGCAATAGTACACGTAGGTTTCCCAGTCTTGACTTCTGACGCGAATTGGGGGGTTCGGTATCTGCGAGTCACTCTATCATCGCACGTCAAGCCGGTACAGTGAGCCCAGCTCATTTTGTAGAATCATGGATAGCTGTGAGTCATTCTTATCAAACCATGTCTCACTCACTGACTTATGAGGATCGCATAGATGTAATCAGGCTGTGAAAAGACTGGACGATGATGAGAAATGATGTAACAGGGACAAGAACCAACGAGACGAAGCCGAAGGGAGAAGCTGTAGGTGATGGGTTGTTCCTATTGACATTGTGGGTAGAATGGAATGATCAATAAGCGAATTACATAGACAAAATGTAATTTTTTGTTAGCTAGTGAATCAGTTCAAATTCGGTCCTACTTTTCAGGTGAACTACTGGTAATTCGGTGACTATTTCCCAGTACCACAGCCAACTATCATACCAAGTGTGCCTTTCAATGCCAAAGATATGTAGGCAATCGCACTTGACTATTCGAGAGAACCTCGGTCTCAATGGAATTTACTCACTAGACTATTGAGGGTCTAGATTGAGCCCACTCATGCAGTTGAGTCATACCAACATTCGCGCCCGGGCATGGTGACCGATTCATTGATCCATCTTGACGTGATTTGCTTTCTTACGTGGTCGATCGAGGTCAATTACGACCGGGTTCGTTGATTCTAGTACGCTTCGGCACAACCTGGATATGAATTTAGCCACTAGAGGTCAAACAACGGGTAAGCGAGACAGATCGTATGACAGAGAAAGCCATAGAACCTGTACTGTTGTCGTATGTGCATGTACGTGAGCCCGTGTGGATGCGCGAAAACTACATCGCTACATTCTCGGAGAGGGGAGGGGAGGGGTCAAAAAAAGGTGTTTTTGTTAAGAC